AGGTGGTTGGAGACCCAGCCCCCATTGTCCATCACCTCTTGGGACGATCTGGCGGACAAGTTCGTGCACAGGTATTATCCGGCATCGAAGACTACAGAGATTCAGCGGGAGATCACTCACTTCCGCCAGGAGCCAGATGAGTCACTTCGTGATGCTTGGGAGCGGTACATGAGCTATTTCTGGCAGTGCCCCCATCATGGCTTCAGTGATGCATTCACAGTGGGGAACTTCTACAGTGCCCTTTCGCCAGATAGCCAGAGGGTGATTGAGTCTCTATGCCCAGGAGGGGATATTCTTACCAAGACTCCACCCGAGCTGAACCAGATGATCAGTACTTTGGCTGCCAGAGATCATTCTTGGGGACAGGGTAGCCGAGGCAGACAGTCCCGCGACCGTGGTGTGCACACCATGGAGACCAGATCCGGGCTCGAGCAGCAGGTAGCTGAGCTAGTGCAGACATTGAAGCAGCCCAACAGTCTGATTCCGGGCAGAGGTTTGGCTACACCTCCAGTAGCTCAATGTCTGTGGTGTGAGAGCTCCAATCACCTAGTGGAGGACTGCCAGGCTATGAGGGAGTCTACCACACCCCAGGAGCAGTTGGCCTTCATCGCCAATGCGAGGCGCCTCGATCCATATAGCAGAACATATAATGAGGGGTGGCGCCAGCATCCCAACTTCGCCTGGAGCAGCAACACCACTAAACCACCTGGTTTCCCAGCACCAGCAGGTGGTTTTCAGCAGAGGCAGCCCTTCCAGGCTCGCCAGGGGCCAGACCCACAGCAGCCCTACCAGCCCAGGCAAGGCAGCCATTCCAGCAGCCCCAGTGCCAGTTTGCCGAGCCAGCAGCAGCTCCAGCCCCAGATGACAGGATGACGAAGCTAGAAAACATTCTAGCTTCATTCATGACGAGCACTCAGGCGACTATCACGAGGTTGGACCAGAGTGTAGCCTCACCGGAGGCAGGTCAGAGGAACCAGGGTGCCATTTTGCAGGATTTGCAGACCCAGGTGGGCATCTTGGCCCGCCAGAACACCACCAGGGCACCGGGGACTCTGCCTGCCACCACTGTTCCGAATCCTCGAGATCCTCACCAGCATCAGCAGCTGGATGCCATTTTTACCAGGAGCGGTAAGACCATATCTGCTGATCCTGTCCCGGCCAGACAGGAGGAACCACTGCCTGCTTCAGCACTTCCAGCCGACGATGCAGAAGTGCGGGTGGAGAAAGAAGCCCCTGCTCCCAAGCCACAACCAGTGGTTAAGGAGCATGTACCCCAGCTTCCCTTCCCCACTCGCCTACACAAGGACAAGCTGGAGACTGAGTTTGCCCAGTTCATGGCAATGTTGAAGCAGCTCAATATCAGCATACCGTTCATGGAGGCACTGTCGAAGATGCCCAAGTATGCCAAGTTCATGAAAGATATCTGCACCAACAAGAAGAAACTTGGGGATCTCTCGACAGTGATGCTGAGCGAGGAGTGTTCTGCTATCCTGCAGAACAAGCTGCCCGAGAAGCGCAAGGATCCAGGGAGTTTTACTATCCCTCTTACTATTGGCAGCATGCATGTAGGAAAGTCCTTGGCGGACCTAGGCGCTAGCATTAACGTCATGCCATATAAGTTGTATAAAATGCTAGACCTAGGTGAACTTAGCCCTACTAGGATGAGCATTCAATTAGCTGATCGTTCTATTGTGCATCCTAGGGGAATCATAGAGGATCTGCTTGTTGGTGTTGGTGCATTCACATATCCTGTTGATTTTGTTATTCTTGATATACATGAGGATGTGGATATGCCCTTGATTCTAGGTAGGCCATTTCTTGCCACCGCTAAGGCACTAATTGATGTGCATGATGGTAAGTTGATCTTGCGTGCTGGGGATGAACAGGCTACTTTTTCTGTGACTGAGTTTGATCACTGTGCTATGATTGCTGTCACGCCTGTGCATGCTATGTCTGATCAGGTACACGAGTCTGTCGTGTACCCTTCTGCACCTCATATTTTGCAGGACCCTCCTATCATTCCTTCGCCGCCACTCCATCCAGCCTCGCCTCCGAACAAAAAGCTCAAGGAGGAGTGGCGGCCGAAGCAGCAGGTTGCTAAGCCTGCACGGAAGAAGAGTGGAGACCACTATGAGCTGGTCCCACCTCCTGCACCACGACCACCCTGGCCGTCTGGGTACTCGCTCTCCTGCATCTTGCCAGATGGGCAGGTCGAGCTGACTGATGAGGGTGGTCGCATCCGTCGGGTGCATGGCCACAACCTGAAGCTGTACCTCAAGAGCGACGTGGATCCGCTCTTGGAGGCACCTGTTCCTGCACCGCCCTGAGTATCCGCAATTGGCGTCCAGCTAAAAGACGGTAAAGAAGCGCTTGTGGGGAGGCAACCCCACCACGGTTTGATTTTCTTTCTTGTGTTTTGAGTCGGATTGTAACCCGGTTTGGGTTTGGTTTGTTTTCTTTTGGTTTGGATGATATTTTATTGGGCTGACCATTGAACCTAACATACGGTGTTTGAGCTCTTATGTTCCCCTTTGGCTGTGCTTGCCCCGACTGGCCCGTTTCCAGTCCCCTGCAGTCCGTGCATACCGGTAACATCTTTCCCTATCCCTTCCATCTTCTCCATTGAGGGCAATGTCGATCTTAAGTGTGTGGGGGGGGGGTGTTTATCTTTTGACTGCCTTAGATATGTTTGTGTGCTTGGAGCCTAGTGTGTTTATCTTTTGACTGCCTTAGATCTGTTTGTGTGCTTGGAGCCTAGTGTGTTTATCTTTTGATTGCCTTAGATCTGTTTGTGTGCTTGGAGCCTAGTCCACTGTCCAAATTTTTTAAAAAATTTGAGGGCTCCAAGTACGTGTTCCTTGCAATTGCCTGCTCAGTATGCTTTGAATTGACAGTCTTTATAGTGATATGCAACCTAGGGAGGTAGTGTAGCACTATGGAGGATGTTGATGCATTTAAGAAGTCTCATTTCTTCTTCATATTGAGTTGGTTGATTGAGTGAATTAGTGATCTTAGGACCCTTGAATTGTGTGGTGTTGTGGATTCTCTACCTGTCATGGACTCTTGTATCATGTTTTGAAAATAACAGGTGCTCGAAAATGTGCTTCAAAATAAACGTCTCCCGTGCGAATAGGGCGAAAGTGTGTAAGGGGAGACGGGAATTCGTTCCCAATTTCCACCTACTACCTCCAGCCCCCTTACATGTCTTTCCCCCGCACGATGCTCGAGACATCCGCTCCTGGCATGGCCGGTAAGAGCAGGTTGGGATCCTTGAAAAAGAAAAAAGAAAAGAAAAATAACAGAAAACAAGCACAATAGAAAGAAAAGGGGTTCCAACCATCCTTAAGCAGAAAATAGAGCACCTTGAAAAATGTGAGTCCATGATCTGTTGTTTTTGAGAATCTCTTCATCCACAATTCATTTGTCCTCTGTTCACTATTTGCCATGATGCCGACTCGCCGAAGAAGTTATGAGATGACTTGTGCGTCGGTTGACCTCGTAAGTTGCTAAATGATCTAGGAAGTCCTCTACCTACGATCTGGGTTGTTTGTTGCTATAGAGGTCTGGAGAGTTGCATTGGTTTGAGTTAGGTTTTCTTGGGGACAAGCAAACGGTTAAGTGTGGGGGAGTTTGATAGACCGTTAGTTACACATGTTTTCACCCCTGTTCTTACACCGTTTGAGAGGTGGTTTCTCGTGTTTTAGACCGACTTCACGCTAGGTTGTGCTTGTTTGTGATATTTCAGGTCTTGGCAAGTGAATGAAGGTTTAGGAGCGAGTTCGGGGTCGATTGGGCGAAGTTCGGGCGCGAGGCAAGTCGCAAAGGAGGTCACACGGGCTGCCCTGATGTTCACACGGCCGTGTGAAGTAATGGCCTGGCCGTGCGTGTTTTGCCGAGAGCACACACGGGCAGAGCAGAGGATCGACACGGCCGTGCAAGTGGCCGGGTTGGGCGTGCCACATTCTGCGAGAGCAAACACGGGCAAGAGGGGATGTCCACACGGCCGTGCCATTCTGGCCGTGCAAAGAGCCTGGAATTCGAACTAAATGAAACGATGCGTTTTGACTCACACGGGCAACTGGGTGAGCTGCACGGCCGTGCCACCCTGGCCGTGTGAGTCGGGATTTTCTCCTTTTAAGCAGAATTTCAGCCACAATTCGGGAGGATTCGAGTTTTGGAGAAAGAGAGTGATTTCTAGAGAGAGAAAGTGACGAGCAAGAGTTCCCAAGTGCCCTAGATTGATCTTCAACACCATTGGAGGCCAGCTTGAGCTTGGAGAAGTGCCGATCAACGTCCAGAAGCAGGAATCCATCCTTCGCAGTATGAATTCCGTGTCTGATTCTGCTTTTGCTTTCTTCTCCATGGAGTAGTTCTCCCATTCATCTGGGTATGGAGAACCCTAGATTTGTATGTTAGGCTTTGATTGTATGAACCCAAGTACTGATTCTATGATTGATTATATTCGATTGAGGTTTTAATGATTGAATGACTTGAATCCTGATCAAATTCCCGTTGTTTCTGCTTTAACCTAGAATGAGAATATCTGCCTAGGTTAATAGAGTATCCTTGATTGAAGGTAGGGAGTTGGTGACTTTAGTAGAGGAACCAACTCACTATTCTGTACCGGATTTACTCCGGTAGTGGAGGTTTTGTTCTTAGGGCCTCAATCTGTCTACTCCGGTGGAGGTTAGTCGCCCGCTAGAGATTCAGATTGAGAGGGTCTGAAGACCTTTAGTCGAGACTTCAGGCTGTTTAAGAACCTTCCGCAGTATAACTATCATAGAAACTGAACTTGGTAATTACAATCTGGCTTAACTGCAGTCTAGGGGGAACCATATCCGGGTGACCTCTCTTAACCTGAATACAACAGTTTACTTGCTTTGTTTGTTTGGTAGTTTAGACTTGCATTCCAGTTTCATTGCTAGATAACAAGAATTCACTGAGTAGTCATCAAATCTAGGACCCGGGTTGATAAATAAACCCAAACCCGCTATACTACGCTTTAGGAAGTGGTTGCATGATAGACCGTCATTTACACATGTTTTTACCCCCGTTCTTACACCGTTTGAGGTGTGGATTCTCGTGTTTTAGGCCGATTTCACGCTAGGTTGTGCTTGTTTGTGATATTTCAGGTCCTAGTACGTGAATGAAGGCTTAGGAGCGAGTCTGGGGTCGATTGGACGAAGAACGGACGAATGGCGAGGTTTTTGGGGAGCTGCACGGGCAGACCAGGGAGGCTGCACGGCCGTGCACGGTTGCAAGCTGGCCGTGCGCCTCATGCCGAGGAGATGCACGGGCAGGCCCTGAAGATTGCACGGCCGTGCACCTGGCCGTGCAAGAAGCCTGAGTTCGACTTAAGGGATACGCTGCGTTTCATGGTGCACGGCCAGAATGGTGAGGTGCACGGCCGTGCACCCTGGCCGTGCAACTCGGGAAACCCGGTTTTAAAGCCTTATCCGAGCCAGAAGTGAGAGAACAGTGTTTTCAGAGCAAAAACAGAGCCCTAGAGAGAGAAAGTACGAAGAACACATCCTAGAAGCTGTCTTAGAGCTGGATTTCATCGAATCGAGCCTGGAGATCGTCATAGGAGTGAAAATCATCGTCCCGGAGCAGATTATCCTCATCGTTATGAGTATGACTAATCCGATTCTTGTTTTCTCTTCTCTCTCTATGGAGTAGAACCCTTCTCTCACTTGGGGATGAAGAACCCTAGTTCCATGTGTTAGGGGATTGATTGTAATGACTTGGGATGATACTACTGTTTGATTTTAATCAAATGATGCATGTTTCATGAATTGATTTGAGTCTGATCAGCTTGTCTCAATTTCTGCTTCAACCTGAGATAGATAGAATCTGATTAGGTTGTTAGAGCCTCTTCATTCGATAGTAGGAGGTTGGCTATACGAGAGTTAGCCAGTTTACTGCTTTGTACTGGTGTTCTTGGCGCCAGTAGTGGAGTTCTGTGTTCATAGCCTCAGCTTTCTATCCCGGTGAAGACTAGTCGTCTGCCGGGTAGTTAGACTGAGAGGGCTTGGTCAGCTTAAGAGATTCCAAGCTACTGTCGGATCTTCCGCAGTCTAATCAACAGTAAATCAACCCAGGGTAAATTGCAATTGAAACCTAACTAAAGAGCTAGGGGGATTCATTCCCGAGTGACTCTTTCCTGCTTAAGAAAACCGATTAATTTCCTGCTTTATTTCTGCTTTCAGTTTAAACAACAATCACTTACTCTAGTTGGCTAGATAACAGAGAATCACTGAGTAAGCAGTAGATCTAGAGCCCGGGTTGATAATATAACTTGCCTGTTACTGCATTCCCGGTCTGCGATTACACTTGGTCGCAGATTGGTGTTGTGTTTTGGCGTGTCAAGTTTTTGGCGCCGTTGCCGGGGACCCTCTAGGTTATTGGGGAAACGTGAGAATTTGTTACTCTAGCTTTTATTTTCTGCTTTTTATTTCTTCCACCTGTGTGCCTTCACGGGTTGTTTCTGCTGATTGTGTGCAGGTAGTGCATGACCCGTAGCCAGTCGGGAGATCTACTACCACTAGACCAGGAGCTTGAAAGAACCTGCAGAAACTTCAAGCGGGCTCTAAAGGCGCGACTGGCTGCGGAGGAGGCGCTATCATAGCTGCAGTTAGAGGAGGAAGAAGAAGAGATGGCTGAACCAGGGAACCATGCTGTGATCCCCGAGGAGCAGACCATGGGCTCCTACTGGACCGCTAGGGCTGCGGACATGAGGTCGCACATTCAGCACCCTCAGGTCCCAGCCAACAACTTTGAGGTGAGCACCTCCGTGATCACCATGCTGCGCGGTTCAGTAGTGTTCCGTGGTAAGGAGGGAGAGTGCCCTCGATCACATCTCAGGCGATTCCACGAGCTCATCGATGGAATCAAGATCAATGGGGTACCAGCAGATGCCATCCAGCTGAGGTACTTCCCATTCACTCTGGAGGGGCAGGCCAAGGAGTGGCTAGACACTCGATCTCCGGGCTCCATCACCACGTTCGCCAACCTGGCGGACAAGTTCCTCACCCGCTACCATCCTCCATCCAAGACAGCTGACCTGCAGAAGCAAATTACACATTTTGCTCAGGATGAGGATGAGACCATCAGGGATGCATGGTAGAGGTACAACAGTCTTTTCCTCAGGTGTCCCAATCATGGTTTCAACGATGCGTTCAAGGTGGGCACCTTCTATCACGCCCTCTTCCCGGAGGACAAGCAGCTGATCGATTCGGTTTGTGGCGGGAACATGCTGACCAAAACCCCGCCACAGCTGAATCAACTCTTTGAAGAGATGGCGGAGAATGGTTATGATTGGGGCACTGCCAGGAGATCGAGGAGAGCACCAGGCCGGGGTGTGCATGCTGTGGGCACCCAGTCATCCGATTTGGTGCAGGTAGTATCGAAGCTGGTCTCAGCTATCGATCGTTCCGGGATGATTCCAGGGACCGGACAGCAGCAGGCGATGCTCTGCCAGTGGTGCGAGAGCACCCATCATATGGTGGAAGACTGCCAGGCGATGAAGGAATCGACCACGCCCCAGGAGCAGGTGAACTTCATCAACAATGTCAGGCGCAATGACCCCTACAGCAACACGTACAATGAGGGGTGGCGCCAGCATCCTAACTTCTCCTGGACTGGGCCAAATCCCAGACCACCAGCTCCACAGGGACCACCGGGCTTCCAGAGGCCACCATATCAGCCCAGACAGGGGCAATTCCAGCAGCCAGGTGCAGCCCCTGCTGCCCCAGTGCAGAATGATCAGATGGCTGAACTGCGGGACTTGGTGGGTTCTCTTGCCAGTGTTAGTGCTCAGAAATTCAACACCTTTGAGCAATTCATGGAGAAGGCCTCGGGTCAACTCCTGGCTCTGGAAGCTGGTCAGAGGAATACACGGGCTGTTTTGCAAGATATCCAGACCCAGCTGGGGAGCGTGGCCCAGGCAGTGGCTCAAAGGGCTCCTGGTACTCTACCAGGGCAGACCATCCCTCACCCGCCGACCCCGAATGAGCGCTGCAATGCCATCATGACCAGGAGTGGCAAGATGACTGTTGATCCCCCTGCTCGGGAACCGGAGAAAGAAAGCCCTGTCTTAGCGGCTCCAGCGGTTGAACAGGAAGTAGAGAAGGAAGTTGAGGTGCCTGCACCTAAACCGCAACCAGTAGTGAAGGAGTATGTCCCTAAACTCCCTTTCCCTACTCGGTTGCACAAAGACAGGCTGGAGGCAGAGTTCGAGAACTTCATGGCCATGCTTAAGAAGCTGAATGTCCAAGTGCCCTTCCTGGAGGCACTATCGCAAATGCCAAAGTATGCGAAGTTTCTGAAAGAGCTTCTCTCAAAGAAGCAGAAGCTGAGTGAGCTGGCCACGGTAGAGCTCAGCGAGGAATGCTCGGCTATTCTGCAAAATAAGCTTCCGCAGAAGAAGAAGGACCCATGTAGTTTTACTATCCCGTGCTCTATTGATAAATTGCATGTAGAGAAGTCCTTGGCGGATTTAGGTGCTAGTATCAATGTTACTCCATATAAATTGTTCATGAAACTAGGCCTAGGTGAACCCCGTGCTACTAGGATGACCCTTCAATTAGCTGACAGATCTGTAGTGCATCCTAGGGGTATAGTGGAAGACCTTCTGGTTAAGGTTGGCAAATTCACATATCCCGTGGATTTTGTTATCTTGGACATCAGTGAGGACACAGAAGTGCCTCTTATACTGGGAAGGCCTTTCCTGGCCACCGCCAAGGCTCTCATAGATGTGCATGATGGGACCTTAGTTTTGAGGGATGGCGAGGAGCGAATTACGTTTTCTGTTGCTGATAATATACCTGCTTCGTCACCTCTGCATGCTGTATCTCACCAGGAGCACGAGTCTGTCGTGTATCCTTCTGTGCTGCCTATTTTGCAGGAACCGCCTCCCACACCTTCGCCGCCACTCCGAACCACTCCGTCACCCAAAGAACAGATCAGGGAGGAGTGGCGGCCGAAACTGCCGGCAGCTAAGCCTGCTCGAAAGGAAGCCGGAGACCACTATGAGCTGGTCCCGCCCCCTCCTTGGCCATCCGAGTATTCACTCGCTTGCATCCTACCGGATGGCCAAGTTGAGCTGGCGAATGCAGGTGGCCACATTCGTCGCGTGCATGGCCACCATTTGAAGCTGTACCTCAAGAGCGATGTGGATCCGCTCTTGAAGGCACCTGATCCTACACTTCCCTGAGCATCCATACTGGCGTCCAGCTAAAAGACGGTAAAGAAGCGCTTGTGGGGAGGCAACCCCACCGAGGTTTGCATTTTCTTACTCTTTTTCCTTTGATTTTGTGTGTTTTTGAGTCTTGAGACGTTGATCCAGAGTTACGTGTCGTTTTTGAGCGAAAACAGGTTGATTTCGGGACTCCAACAAGTCGCACGGCCAGGACCACAACTTGCACGGCCGTGCGGGCACCCGCCTTGGCCGTGCGAGCTCTCGGCCAAAAGCGCACGGCCAAAAGCGCTTATTGCACGGCCGTGCGCTCGTCCTGGCCTGGCCGTGCGTCTTGCACGGGCACCATAATGCCTCGCATGGCCGTGCGGGTATTCCCCCTTGGCCGTGCGAGCTCTCGGTAAGGATGGCACGGCCATATGTGCCAGGTACACGGTCGTGCGCTTCTCCTCGGCCAGGCCGTGTCGGCTGCACGGGCAAAAACCAGCCTTGCACGGCCGTGCGCCCCTGCCCGTGCAGCCGAGGCACGGCCTATTTATATGGCCTGCACGGCCATTGTGGTCAGAAAACCAAAACCACTCGCCGGAATCGTCTGCCCTCGCCAGAAATCCGCGCAAAACCCACCTTTTTTCGATTTTTTCGGCCACTTTGGGTAATTTTTTCACCAAACCAACTACAAACCCACTCTTTCTACACCCAAAGCGGCCTAACCCTCGATTTTGAGCGAGTTTGGGCGACGTTTTAGTCGCCGGAGGAGACTTCCGGCGAGACTCCGGCGAGACTCCGACGAGCATTTCCGGCCAGTTTTTCGGCGTTTCGTCACTTCCATTGTCTTCCCCTCATCATTCCCTACACCTCTACTTGAGTCTCCAGGTTTGATTTTGCCCCTAACTATGTTAATTGTGGAGAATTGAGTGTGTAGGGTGTATGTTAGAGAACCTTATTGAATCATGTGAATCTTATGAAATTGATTGAGGGGAATGCATGGGATGTGATTGAATTATGTTGGGCAAAGTCCCCTTTGATTGTTTAAGCCCTTGTGTGCAAGAATTTGGCCAATTTCATGTTTAACTTAGTAGTGCACACAAGGTGTTCGCTGAAATGCCTGTTTTCCATGCCCTGTTGTGGCCACCGGTTGGGGCCCTTAATGATGTAGTTTGAGGGTGTATTTGCTATGGATGTGAACCTTGAGTTGCCTATTTTCTTGTGAATGTGCACCCCCACCCTGATTCTGCTTGATTTATCGAGATTTTGACCCCCGAACTATGGATGAAACCATGGTTAGGCTGTTTTCTGTTCTTAAGTATGGGGGTGCGCTTGACCTTTTTCTTTGGCTCTTTTGGGTTCCACTTTGGGTTGTTGTTTTGCAGGGCAATGGCGAAACCTAATTTCCAGCACCCGTTCATCCAGGATCTGAGGAGGGGACCCACCGCAGAGCGCTTCAAGGAGGTCGCGGAAACCCCGTTTGGGTCACACCATTGCTGGTCCAAACGCGAGTTTCGGCGATTGCACTGCTACGAGCAGCTCTCCGCCGCGGTCGCCAACACCGCCTGGCGCCGTCTGCTCCAGCTCTGCGAGAAGGTCTACTACGAGC